TTTTTATTTTAAGTTAGGTATATTATATTTAATAAAGCCTTTTTAAATGTAAAGTTGAAATAAAGTTTAATGTCATTTTTTTATAAAATTTGCTTTAAAAACTAGCCTCAGCTTAAATTCTCATACAATATAAGTAGAATATATTTTTTTTTATTGAAAATACTAATAGTAGCAGTGGCGTAGCTACGGGGGTAGTTTCGAGTTTGGACCCCTCTCAGAGCAAAAATTTTTTTTTTAGATTATACGTTCAAAAGACTTAAAAGTGACTTTATATCAAATAAATACCATGAATATAAATATTTTTCTGGTTTTTATGTTTGTGGAAGGATATTATATTACTATTGAAATTATTCTGGATAGTATTATTATAAAGTCATTGAGAATAATCTGCTAAATTATAATAACATATTATTGATGTAAAAAATATATTTATTATATATTATCGAAGATATGGTTATGATTTGTAAGATAAACCAGGCCGAAGGCTCGTATAGGGGGCCTGGGGGGGGGAGAAGCCCCCAGGCTTTTATATGTATGAATCCCCTCTAAGGAAAATTCTTAGCTACGTCACTGAATAGTAGTGTGTATAAAATATTGACTAAGAAAATAATTTAAAAAACAATTTTTTTTAACTTCTTATCAAATACAATATTCTACAAATTTTTTTATTAAATACTATAATTATAATGTGATTTTTAATTTTCGTGGGAATGTTGCCAATTCATCAAGAATTTTTTGGAACCAAATCTCCGTGGATATTTAACAGAGCTAACCCATTTAGCCGAGATTCGGAAGTAGTACTTCGTAAATATGTTTTCAACTATCTCAAGTTGGAAAAAGTCCTTTCATTCGTACATGTTGTAATGGGCAAACATGCAAGAATATAAAACAACTTCAAAATATTTGGAAATTGAGCCAAGGTTTCTTTACACCGGTTGAGCGCATCAATAGCATGCTCAGGCAAAATAGCTAAACGTATTAAATATTTATACCACAATTCGATCACTGATTTCAGTATCAATATCATAGGAATAAAATTTTGCGAAATATTTAATTTTACCAATAGTGGCATTAGAAAACGAAGAAGGATCTTAGGGTAATAAAACTAGAAGATTGCTAAAGACTTGTTTTTATCTAAAAATCATACTTTTATTTGAGATAAAAATGCATCTAAGGATGGGATGAAAATGATATTTAATATCTTTAGTTGAGACAATATTTATTTTACATCTAAATAATTGCCAAGGTGCTAGACTAGATTTAATAATGTTATATCATAAAAGTTAACCTTCGATTCAATGTCTAGATAAATATTATGAAAATATTCATCTACATTCATTCTTATTGTATTTACCTATTCATATATATTTTCCACCAAATCAATTACCTGAACCAAATCTAAATTTGGTTTTTGTAAATTTCTATATAGTGAGCTATAGGAAAATAATTTATTGATGCAACTAGCAGAAATGATAAACTCTGATTGATCAATTGAATTCAATAATGATATCGCTTCTGCCGACACATTACTTTTTTTCATGCTCAGCCTTATTTAACTTTTGTATCTCTATTTCTTCTGTTCTACAAAATGGGATTAAAAATGAAAAATATTTAAAAAATTATAGATATTTTATTAATAATTAAAAATATTATTAAAAATACTTATTAATTCTAACTCACTAATAATTTTGATTTTAATAAAATAATCATACATAATAATAAAATATTTTACAGTTTGATTTCAATCTCTTTGACTAAAATTTTTTCCATTTTATTAATATTTTTGAATAAGGAAATTTTAAATTAAATTTATTTATAAAAAATAAGTTTTATGTTTGAAAATTGATATTCAAATATTTGTGAAATTTTGATTGAGGGGGGGGGGGGGGGTAAAATTTTAATTAGCTTAAAATGATATTTATGAAAACAGTCAACCCCCCCCTCCAATTTTTCAAAAATAATAGTTTATATTAATTTATATTTTTATAATATTTACTCCTATCTCTTTTTTAAGAAAATATATATATTTAACCCTTTCGAGCCCGAAATATTTCCCTCGATATTTCCGCTAATTCCCTTCAAAGTTTTTTTTATATTTGTGGATTTTTCCGAAATCATATAGCATTCCAGATGATCCATATAAAGCGAAAATTTTAATTCCCCATTTATGCGGTTTTGGGCTAATATATTGTTTAAATCCATCTCCCTCTGGTATAATATGTGTTGAGGTCATCTAAAAATTATTTATAAAAATTTTAAAAAAAAGTATAATAAAAAAAATTTCCCACTTTCTTAACCTTTTGCAAATATTATAGTGGCTTTCTACATGGAAAATAATCTATATTCATTTCTTACTATATCATATTTTTAATATTTAATTTTAAAAAATTGATAGAAAAAATTACATGATAAAATCCCAGTGTTACCAATTTGGATATCCTTTAAAAAATCATATAAATAATAGTTGTTAAAAATTTTTTTTTTTACTAAATATGAAATACTAGTAATAATCTATTATAAAAACATTTATATATATACCTTTTATTTATATATAGAATGGTTATCGATGTAAAAGTGCAAAAACTTTGGCGCGTAAAATACCTAACTTTGAACTTGTATTTTGATAAAATAAAATTATGATTTTGACAGATTAACGATAAAATATGAAATAATAAATATTTTGTAAATCCATGCGTCTAAATAGTAGCAACCATTATTTTTTTAAATATAAAAATTAACTGATTAAAAATTTTGATGAACAAATGATCTCGCTGGGCGCAAAAGGGTAATAACATTTATTTGTCACATTCATTTACTAAGTTATTTTATCAATTAATTTAGATTTCAAGTTTTTCTTGGCGTAATATTTATCTATTATTTTCAAATTTCTAGTAACTTGATATATATCTATTTTCAAATTTCTAGTCAGATATTTAATTATGGAAATAAGAATTTTTTTCAGGCATATTGATGATGAGAAAAATTCAAGTCATCTTACAAAAAAAAAGCAAAAAAGTACAAATAATTTTATAAAATTGTAATATTTAGCAGATTTTTATCATGAAGATGTTAAAATATCGTATGATGCCTTATTAAAAAAATGCTATGGATGCTTTGCACATTTCAGACAACTTTTAGAATTTTCCCAATGTATTGGAATTATTATATATATTAGCAACTCTTCCTATTAGTACTGAAACTAATGAGAGAACTATTACATGCCATCCTTTCATAATAATAAGAATAAGAATACGACTCAAATTTCTTTATTAAAAAACACCAACAACAATATCTATACATTATCAAAAAAATTACAAATCATAAATATCTAATTATCTAATTCTTCATGTCCCAAAATGGATAACAAAAGAATCCTTTCCCATCAACCCATCATGTGTTCATCACCTCCTCTTCTTCCCCCAAGGAAAACTTAATTCACCTGTCAGAAAATAACTGACATTTGATGTATTATATTAAATTTATTTCTTCTTTTTTTCAACAGCTACAACACGCCCACCCTTCACAAGCCCAGCGTCCCTCTCTTTGTGGTGGTGTTGTATCGAATCGCCCCTTTGAATTGTATCGAATCACCTCTTTGAATTGTATCGACTCGCCCATTATAATTGTATTGGGACGCCTTGAAGATGTTCAGGAATTTATCGAATCAACTTCCCCTTATAATGATTTATAATATAATAATTCCATTATATTTCAATATAAAATCGCGAAAACAGACATTATCAATAATGACATGTATATTAAGGTATCTGCATTTATAATCTACGGAACATTAATATGGACAATGTAATATCCGCAAAACATAATAATTTATTCATTTTAAGACATTTGGGAACTACTAGCTATAATATACATTATTAGGGTATGATTCATGGTAATTAGGAAATAATGATTTTACATATAATAATGTAATGTGAAAACATGGTCTATGTGTGAAATGCAATTTCAACACATGTAATTTTTCTTCTATCATGTGAAAAAAACAAAGCTACATCTTTATAAATATTTCCTAAAATTAATATAAAAATCCATCTTTAGGTATTAAAAATAATTGCGAAACTTGGCCGAACAAAGATTATAAATAAAATTACAATACATACGTATATAAATACATTTAATATTATATATGAAGGAACAAATATATAATATGTAGAAAATACAATATTTTCCATCTAGGAATTACTCAGTATCCTAAGAAAAATATACCATTTCTACCTAACTCTGTCATCACAATTAGCACAAATTCACAAAAATGTAGAATGCAAAGTAACAAAAATTGATAATATAATGGGCTATATGGTATATATGTAAAGAATTTTTAATATACCTTCACAATATAAAATAATTTGAGTCTTTTCTTTAAAAATATGTTCATAATTAAATAGTAAAATGTGATGTGTTATAAAATTATTAAAAAGATAATAAAAAATGTATTATGCAGCATAAATTTACAAAAAAAAACTTTCCCCAGTATGCAAACTAAACAATATTTTCACCTCAAGGCATACCCCTCAACATGGGCTGACCTTATCTGTAAAAATATTTTCCCTTCACATCATTGCATACCACACAAATAATATAATAATTGCAAATAAAACTTCTTATAAAAATTTATAATTTAAAAAAAATAATATATATATTAAATATAAAGATTTCATAATTTGAAAAAAAAAATATTATACACCATCTAATGTATCATATAAATTCCTATCCAATTTATATATACACTAAATGCAGACACTAAATCAAAATAACTATCCACATCTAACATTATAGATATTATTCTGACTTCATCATACTTCAATTCCTTCAAATTCTCATTCATAATTAAATATATCATATGTTACCTATACAATATATTAACATTATAAATAATAATTCATAGTTAAATATATCATATGTTACCTATGCAATATATTAACCTTAATTAATAATAAATTATCCCATACATATTCATCCCTTTACAAACCCAAAATGCATAATTAAATAATACACACTTTATTACAAAAGTCTATATCCATATATATTTTCATAAATTTCACATATTTAAATATTTAACAATCCTTTCTGTCCTGCTGTTCATGAGGTCTTTCAGCTTCCTATGACGGAATACCTATAACACCATTCAATGAGTTTTAAGGCATACCAAATAATGATCAAAATTAGATGTACCATATACATCTAGACATAAGATAATATACCAAATATTACTGTCTTAAATTCCTGATCTTATTTCCATATTTCTGCCTAATACTCATTACATACTTTCTATCTTACACCTTTTTAAGTTAAATATAAAAGTATAGAAATCCTTAAACCCATGTATCTGTATAGTTTTTAGTACATTGCCTTGTCAAAATTTCTCTTATGTAATATGTATACAATAAAAATTTTGTTTTACTTTAAAACCGAATCAACCCACTCTTTCGATCTTGGTCAGCTGGCAACAATATTACAAGCCATCCTTTCATAATAATAAGAATAAGAATACGACTCAAATTTCGTTATTAAAAAACACCAACAACAATATCTATACATTATCAAAAAAATTACAAATCATAAATATCTAATTATCTAATTCTTCATGTCCCAAAATGGATAACAAAAGAATCCTTTCCCATCAACCCATCATGTGTTCATCACCTCCTCTTCTTCCCCCAAGGAAAACTTAATTCACCTGTCAGAAAATAACTGACATTTGATGTATTATATTAAATTTATTTCTTCTTTTTTTCAACAGCTACAACAAGAACATTCTCATCATAGAGAATAAAAACATACCTAAGAAGAACAACTTCTGAAAGGTCCCTTTTGAATATTCATAGGCATTTGACGCCAAGCACGGGTGAGTTTGAAAAATTAGCTCAATCCCAACGAAGATTGGATGGTATATTACTTTATAAATATATAATATGCTTCTTAATAATATTTTTTGTTCAATTTTATTTTTTAATGTGTTATATATTTTTCCATGAATACTTTATGAGCTATTACATACAAAATACAATTATTCCTAAGAAACTTTTAAATTTTAAAGGCCCAAAAAATTTAAATTTCTATTTTGGGTCATTTATTTTATAGTGATTCATATGCTCTTTATATCCACACAATATTTTATAATTCACATTTATTTTATAGTATTTTATATGCCGATTTATATATTTAATTTTTTATAATTCACATTAATTTAAAATTGTGTATTAGAAATAGTTATTAGTCCTAAATAAATTTGTGCTTAATATTTTTTAAATTACAATAATTTTATCTTTAAAAAAATTAAATTATCACACACCCCCCCCCCCAGCAAATTCCTGCGCGCGCATGTGCTAGAAGATGAATAAAATCGTAAGCAGCCTTATGATGGAATGAGTAGTATATATATATATGTCGGAGATCTTCCAATCCCGACCCGACGTGTCTCTCAATTAGGATTTTTTGCACCAATTACACTGCAGGGATTGGCCGGATCGTTTTTATTTTTTTCTGCCCAGCATAATTTTGATTTTGATGCCTATAAACATAATTTTTCCCCAATGTCAATTTAATGCTCTTATAATCTTCTACTTATATATATTTTTCTATTACAACAAGTTTTATATATCACTCTAATTTTTATCAGGGATGTAAACCGGAACCGGACCTTGAACCCTCGTATTTTGGCTGAACCCGGACCCGGACCTTGAACCCTCCTGAACCTTCGTATTTTAACTAAACCCGGACCCGGACCTAGAACCCTCCTGAACCTTCGTATTTTAGCTAAACCCGGACCCGGACCTAGAACCCTCCTGAACCTTCGTATTTTAGCTGAACCCGGACCCGGACCTAGAACCCTCATGAACCTTCGTATTTTAGCTAAACCCGGACCCGGACCTAGAATCCTCCTGAACCTTCGTATTTTAGCTAAACCCGGACCCGGACCGTTTTTAGAAGTGGAGGGTCCAAGGTCTAGGTGTCATAAAAAATTTTAATAAAATTATTTTTTTTAAAAAATAATTTACTAATTTTATTTTGATTTCAGTATTTTTTTTGGTTAGACAAACTTTCTTCAAAAAATGATAAATAAATAAGCTTATATTTATCATTTATATTTTCAAAATAGTAATATAAATCAAAATCAATGTTATTACCTTTTGAAATTTCAAAATAAACAAAAAAAAAATATGTGTGATATTTTTTGGTTTGATCTATCAAAATATAAAGAAAAGGCTCGGCCCCATTTTTTTTTGTGTATATATTACCCGGAAGTTGATTATTAAAGTAGGAATTCTCTGGGATTAGACACTGCAGATCTATAACATATGTGTCCTATATAGGATATGTGGAATCTTTAAAAATTTAAATCACTTTTAAGATAATTTTAGCCATAAATTAGCCTAAATTTTTATTAATAATTGGACCAACAAAAAATAGGAAATCGAAATAAACGAAATTCTAGTTTTTTTTAAAAAATATTCAAAAGAATTTATGGAAAAGATGGATATTAACTTCTCAAAGAAACGTGTTGGATGTTACAGATGCTTTAAGTATAAATTTTGGAAAAATTAAGGACTAATTTAGAAATATTTAACGAATAATTTTTTGATAAATAATAATATCACGAGTATAATTTTAAAAATATATGGATAAATTTTGGATTATTATATTTTTAAAATTCAATTTTTTATTAAAATTCATATACAAATATGATAAAATATAATTATTTAAAATTTAACATTAAAATATAGAGAATATTAATAAAATATGTCATATATCAATTTAAGTTAAAAAAAATACAAATGTATATTTTTATAAAAAGAAGAAAAAAAAACATTAAAAAAAAAGAAATATCAAATGGCGAGGTCGGGCTATGATGTTTTAAATATTTGATAATTAGATCTAATTATAGATACGGCGATTTTCTGCTTGTGTTTGTAAAATAGTGAAAGGTATGATTTTTTTATTGATTTGGATATTGTTTTGTATAAAGCCGCTTGTCCAAAAGAGCAGGTTGATGTAGCTGCTATTGGAACAAAGTGGTTATCACACATTAAGTGTGAGTATTTTATATTTTTAGAGATTCGACTCTGTTAAGGGGATCATGGGATTTATTAGATGGAGCCATGGGATCAATGCAGGTAAAATCTTACATTAAAGGCTTTCCCATGAAAATAGGTACGACGGTTTTGCCGTCAGGGCGTTTTTTATCTGAAAAGGATGTAGGTTATAAATACAGGGAAAATTGGCTTTATTTAAAAAGAAGCTATTATTGCATTTATTTTATCATGTCGGCTGATTTTTGATATAAATTTACAGTGGAGAGCGTGTCTCCCATACGCGTATGCCGATTGATTGCATTTAATGCAAATATAATGGTTTAGGAAAGGTACGCCCAAGCGTAAATTGATTGCATAACGAAAAGCGTCGTTATCTATTAGCTGGTTATTTAAAATACTGGGATATGAATCTAACCATTCATGGCCAGAGTTGTTGAAATTAAGAGATCTTAGGAGGGATTTATATTGGTGATCATCGCTCAAGTTGAGGTAAGCTAAGGAACGAGATACCAATCCTTGATCCCAACCTTTTTGTTTCGTTGAATCTGGCGGGGCTGTGTTTGGTAGACATTAATATTCCAGCAACGTAAGGCTTCATCTAATATATTATCTTTATCGATGGTAATAATTTGCGAGGCAATATTTTACTGATAAGGTTGATGAGATGAAGGAAACAAGGGCTATACTTAATGCCGATCTTAGGCCTAGTCCTCCGGATTTACAAGGGAGAGTTGCTTGAAGCCATGAGTTAGAATCGAGTTTGATGTTTAATAACTATGTCATCATTTGTAGAATCTTTTGTTCATCTTCTTTTAAAAGAATTTAAAAAGAGAAGGCACCAGAAGTTTTTAAACAATAATGGATTTGTGATAATAAAAGGGCGTTTTTGAGAATGTATTATGCATGATGGATGGGTAATTTTTTTAGGATCGATAGTTTGGGGAATAGTGATTGAAGGTGATTATTTAAAAAATTAAAAACTCCCTCTGCACCTCTCATTGGGGCTTCTAATATACTGAAATCTTGTAAGGGTGTCCGTCTAAAGTTATCTAATATGGTGTCTGTTGGAGGCGGAGAAGGATAAATTTCGCATTTATTTATATTTAAGGATAAATTAAGTTCATCAGTGTTTGTTGATTATATCTAGACAATTCTGGATTGAAGAAATGGTCCCCGATATAATATAATCGTCATGGTACTAAACATGTAGATTGAGTTTGCATGAAAAAGCAATATCACTTATTAGGTGTTTAAGGGTATAGTAAAAAAATAATGGTCCTAATGGGTCACCCTGTTGGAGGCATTCTGCAGAATTAATAATATAATCATTAAATTTGAGTAAGGAAGGAATGCCATAGCTAAGATGGATTTAATTGTGGTAGTCAGGGAATGTTTCCAAGAAAGTATCGATCATTTTATTCCGATTAATTGAATTAAAGGCATTGGATATGTCTGATTTTGCTATATAATCTTCAGGTTTGAGGTTGGTTAAAACTAGTCCACTGCAATGGATTGCAGCGTCACAGCCTCCTTTTACTCCAAACCCCACTTGGTAAGGGGCTAAGTTTAAGGTTATTGTAGATTTGAGTCGATTACAAATAATTTTTGAATGGTTCGTCGATAGAAAATTCCAATAGCTATTGGGCGCACTTTCAGCTTTTCAAGTGCAGGTGCTAGCTTATGTGGTAATTTTCCGTCAAGATAAAAAATTTTCGTTAAAGAATTAAGTAGGAATTCGGAACTGTCAAAACCCAAGAGGTCAATAATAAATAAGGGTGGAAGGTAATCCAGTCCTGGACTAGAATCGTTTGGAAAAGATTTAATAGCGGTCAAGGCTTCTCCGGGAGTGATATTTATCTTCGAATTTTTTAAAAAAGGGTTGGGAGGGAGCGGTGTGATTATAACCCTTTTGCCCTTTGAAATTTTTTAACCATAAGAAAGTATTCATGCTGTTGGTGAAGCCACCGACCCACTTTCAGTTTTTTAACCATCGAAGGAACTCACTGAACAGATTAAGTGGAAGATCTTGGATAAGTTTAACTCCGTAAAAAGTGATTATGATGATAACAACGATTACGATAGAAAAAATTGGCGGTTTTAGTTATTAAGCATATTTATTTATCTAATAAAAAAATATTTTTATCACTGTTTTTATTATCCTAAAATTAAAAAATTTATATCGAACCCTACCATATGTTAGAACTCCTTTTATACATAGCATAATTAGCACAATTTTACTAAATATTCTGCAAACAGTTGCGAATTTAATTTTAATTTTTTAAAATATTAGAGCCAATCCGTGCTGATATCTAATCTACATATTAATGCTAATATTCATGATAATAATCGGATATCTAAAATAATAAATATTGGTAGGAAATTTATAGAAGCGATTTATATAAAAAAATTAGCAGAAGCAATATTATAATGAAAACAATATAATATATAGTCATCATAACACCCTAGAAATGCCCATTATTATAATAAACATATCATATCATTTTAAATACCCGAAATATAACCTCCATATATGATAAATTCAAGGGTATATTATATTATAATATAAAGTATGTTATAATTATTTAAATATATATATAATATAATATTTAAATATAATGATGATTAAAAAAGGATCTTTAACTTGAAATAGATTGAATCGAGTCAATTTGATTTCTCTTGTTAGTTTAAAATAAATATCGTGTAATGTTAAATCTTTTTTGAATAAATAATAAATTAATGTTTTACCATTATATTTATATTAGGATGATTAATAATATTATATAGTGTAAATTATTACTATTTATTGCTTATTGGAATTAATACTCCTCTCAGACAGGCTGAAGTTCTAGTGATGGGTGTCCCATCATAAATTAGCAAACTCTTGACTACTCCAACTCCCACCTGTTGTAGTTTTGCAATTTAAGTAACATGGTCTATGTGGCTGACTTACTATAATTATTATTATTTAAAAAAAAATAATACAGGTTTTACTAAATAATAATTTTTTTAATTACAAAATATAATATATAAAATAGTTAGATTTATTGAACGATATTTTCCAAGTAATTAAAATACAATAATAATTACTGATTACATTCGGAAATATATTTTTTAAACACTTAGAATTTCGGAAGTGGATAAAAACGGAATAGCGAAAGATTGTTTTCAAAAACCCTTTTTATGTTCTGAACTTAAAATTAACTGTTGGAATATGGAACAAGAGCAAAATTGAACCCTTTGTTAATATATATTTGATGCCAATAAAGGTTATCAATATATTTATTTGTCACTTACTTTATACCTAGTTCTAACTCATAGCTAAAATTTTTAGCTATGAATTATCTCACCCCAATTTAGGAATTTTGGTTAACAAATGCGCGGTATGCAAGATGATTTACTAAAATCAGTAATTCTAATTTGCGACAGTTTATCACAGATTCTGACGAAAAATAAATAATTTGGAAGCAAATTTGATTGAGCTAAGACCGGGTATTAGGTATGGAAAACAATCCGATTAAACATTTCTGCGCTATTCAATACTCGGTTCTGTAAATAATATTGTTTGTTTGGATCAAATGAACAAAATTAAATAGCTTGAAAACGAAAAGAAAAAGGAGAAAATATGAGGATTTTTTTCATATTTATCCTAATCGTAAAAGCAACCCTAAATAATCGTTGAGTAAAAGGCTCTCAGTTTTCTAGAGATATAGATCATTTTCACCAAGCGTAACGTAGGATATACCAAGAGTTTTCACCCAAGATAATCACTAATCACTCAAAATGATGAAACACTAATGAATAAATTTTTCATAATCCTTCATTATCATGATTAATTGTGATTGAACTGCATTTAGCCAAAAAAAATGGCTAAATAAAGATTTTAATAATGGCGGAAAAGTTTGAGACACAGATCCAAAATCTTGATGCTTAGATATTAATGCTAAAATAGAAATCTTAGAGGTTTTCGACACTACTATAACGATATTATATATTTTTATAATAAGAATTATATGTATATGAGTTCAATCCTGACCACTGATAGAGATAATAAAAATGAGTTATTTTGTATACAATACCATAGGCAAATAGACTGGCAATACCTTACCCCATAAAAACTGTATAAAAATTGAGAGAGGGAGAGGTCAGGGAGACATTTTCCACCCCCTATCGATTAAATAAAGAAATTAGCATTCTCCCGCCAATATTTAAAGATTTAAAGAACACGGGCATGCCTTATTGCAAAAATAACAGTATTTTAGATATGGGTTATATATCTCCTGCATTCTAGAATATTCTATATTTCTTCTAGACATATTTGAACTGGAATCAAAAGATGCAGAGGGAATTGTTCATACCCAACTTAAATCTTCTTAAATCCGCAACGTTTTTATTTTAAAAAAATTTGATTTATTGTTAGCAATTGCGTCGCCAGTGTTATGACCGGCAAGATGTCCGGTTTAGGTCGCGCACTATCTATCCATCATACACTAACAAATCTCCTCTCAGTCAAGGGAATTCTTCTCCATATATTAAAGAAGTGATTTTGCAAGGCACGGATCTGCCAAACGAAGATAAGCAATCAAGGAAACTTGCGATCAATACTATTAGAAAATATTGAAGAAGATTCCTTATGACAAATATTGCAGTTTTTTTTATCCATCTTTTTTTGGTCTTTTCTGATTTAGTGCATTATATTGTAATAAATATATTATTTTTATACAAATATATATAATGTATATATTTTGCAATATTCAGTCATTATAAAATTTTCTAAATAACTCATTAATTTATATAATATAAGATATAATAAAGTATTTTAAATAAACATTATATTAAAAAAATAATTTTTAATAACATTTAGCCCCTGAAATTCGTTTTCTAATTTTTTTGCACATTTTAGCGTTCCGCCACAAATTTTACGGACTAACGCACTAGGGATAGCGGCACTAATTTTAGGGTAGAGATGATGGAATAGCATAATGATATATTAAAGAAAAGGTAATGGATAATTGAAAGATATAAGGCTTGGGACAAAATTGTATTATTTGTTAGGTTATGAAATTTAAGTTCTAATGAACAATCTTTTACCCTAGCAAGATTCTAACCGTTTCATTTAATAAATAAAAGTGAAAAAATTAGTTTATTATCGAAATATTATAAATGAATTGAGAAGTGGGTGATAAGAGATTTACTGTATAAATTGTAAATAAATTACCGAATGTTATATTGGAGTAATTATTATTCCAACTCCTTCCGGCATATTTCTGCATTCACATCCGCGTACCATCGTTCCAGTTCCTCTTGACTCTTATCAGTCTAGAACAATAGTTTAGTTAATAAATATATTATTATACAGTATTATAGGAGAAATAATCTACAAAAATTTTAGGTTAGGGTTAGGGTTAGAGTAAGGGTAAGGGTATAGGGTTAGGATTCAATAAATGGGGAATATCCAATGTTCTGTAATAGTGGGTCAAGGATTATTAGTTATCAAATATATATAAAAGAAATGAAAGGTTGACAAAGCGAAGATTTTATACCTGGCATTTCCCTAATCGGATTCTTGTTCCATCACAATACGGACCTAACACTGAGTTTTTTCTATTTCCACCCAGAATATTTTTTTTATTATATAAAGTATATATATAAAAATAAAATGTATAGAAAGTTTATAATTAAAATGTTATTAGAAAAATGTGTGTCGCTAAAAATTAATTTTGGGCAAAATATATCCAATTTAGAATATTATTATTATTTCAAATCGATAATATAATATATATAAATACTTGATTATTTAAATTATTTAATTGAGATGATATATTGAATTAGTTAATTTAGATATTTATATAATCATTCTCAAAATCATTTCTTAGGTTTTGTCTTGTTAAACTTCTTATTATTTGTTTTTCACGGGAGAGGACAGCTTAATTTTGGGTTTTAAGGCTTATACGATTAGCGATATTTAAAAATAACACATGGTTTCATAAATTTTGTATGATGTGGTAATTTTAATTACAGATTCCCTTATTAAACTCTAAGCTCAAATTGATGAATATAAGTGTTACGGGTTCTTTGATTTGGCAGAATATAATTAAATATTCATCCATTAAACAAACCAATATAGACAAGGTACATAAAAAATACATCATAGAAAATTCATATAATCTATACGCTCTTATTATAATATAATATATTGTAAGTCATGACAAAGTTCTCGAAAATCTAAAAAATAAGATTTTTAACTCAAGAAT